ACCCCTCGCGTTGTATCTGGGCCACTTGCGAGGAGCTGCTTTTGCGAGGAGCGTTAAGTCGGGCCTGTCCCTCTACAGGAGGAATATTCAGAAATAGTAAAACAATAGTATGGGGACGATTTTTCTAGTATGGTGGAGCATTTTTGGAGCATTTGTTTGATTTTTTTTTATGTTTTCGCCCAGAATCTCTCTGTTTGGGGCACAGGTCCGACCTACGAGTAGCGGAGCGCGCTGGACGAGCGGAGAGCGCGGCGAGCGCGGAGAGCGCAGAGTCCGTGCGGCCCAGGTCTGGGAGGCGTCCTCCCTGCTCCCCGCCGCGTGCCCGCCGGGCCGCCGCAAACATGTGCACGCGGGCACGCTCCAAGGGATACCTCCTGGGCCTCAGGGGATGAACAAAAAAAAACAACGCGTTTTTTTCGCCCCTGTTTTTTTTTTTTTTTTTTTTTTTTTTTTCTATTTTGTCGGGGGGCGGAACGCTTGCCTAGCCTGTCGCGCCGCCGGTTCTGGCCCACCGCGCTTCGGCGCGACACGCTACTCCAGATGTCTCAATAAAAGGGAGGGGGTCTGGACCCTCCAAGGCAAGCCATTTCAGACCCCCCCCCCCATGGGATAATCCTCCCAAACATCGTCCCCAGACCCCCCCAGGCCCTCCAAGATAGCTTGGAAGAGACCCCCCCTCCCTTTATTGCGTCAGCGCCCCGAGCTTTCCCCGGCCCCTCGGCCCGCGAAGCGGAGCGGCACGCTGTCCGCTTGCAGGGCACAGCGGGTCGCCGGGGCCGCCGCCGCGAGGAAGAGCACGGGGAATCTGGGCCTCCTGGATGGGGTCCGAGTGGATGGGGTCGGAGGATCGCGCCGTATGGTCGATGCATCGGCGATGCGGCTCGATGTGGAGCATACTTTTCTCCATGCTGGCGTCGCCGATGCATCGGCGATGCGTCGGCGACGCATCGCCGATGTATCGGCGATGCGGCGCGATCCTCCGACCCCATTCCGACCCCATCTAGAAGGCCTCTAGGGTACAGTGCCGCTTTTAGTACATGCTCCGCGTGCGGATCATGTATTACACATGCAGGAATGTAGTACTAAAAGAAAGAAGAGCTCATGCATACATTTATTCATGAATCAGCCATGGATTAAAATCATCCGATATATTTAAACATCCTATGTCTTAAAACTGCCCTCTAGGGTAGCGATCTGATCCTCAGGCGCGCGCGCGAGGAACCGTGCAGCCCTGACTGCGGCAGAGCCACGTCGGGTGTGCTCTCGATGCAGGGCCCCCCCAGAGGCCGAAGGCTGCCCAGACCCTGCCACTGTTGCTGCCTTGCAGAGCGCGAGGCTGCCCAGGCCTGGGGGTTGAGTCGGGCACGCCCCTCTACAGCAGGAGTAGTTATTCAAAAATAGTCAACAAATAGCCTGGGGACGATTTTTGGAGCATCTTTGGACTACATTTGGGCATTTGTAGAATGTTTATGGCTTTGGCCCCAAATCCGCCTGTGGGAGGGCATGCCCGACCTAAGCCTGGAGGTCAAAGGTCGACCCCCTGGGCCCATCCTGGCGTGCGGTTGGGGGAGCATCTCGAGGCGGATGCTGCCCTGGCCGCGAGAGGCCTCCAGGAAGCCCAAAGAGGGGGGCGAAAGACGCAACCCAAAACCTCGAACCTCAGGTTTCGATCCCTCCCCTCGATGATGGGGAAGGCCTTGCGGCCGGCGGGGGGGGACGACGACGACCGCGACGACGACGACGACGACGACGACGACGACGATGATGGCGGCAGCGGCGGCGACGGCGACTGCGACGGCGACGGCGACGGCCACGGCGATGACGACAATGGCGAAAGACGCAGACAAAAAACTTCGATCCTCAAGGTTCGACCCTTCCTTTCGGGCATTTTGTCGGGGCGTCGGCTGCCTGGGGCAGGGTCCCGCTCTCGCCCCCCCCCCCTCTCGGGGGCATCCGACGAGAGGGGTGAGGAGTAGGAGTCCTCCTCCTCCTCCTCTTCCTCCTCCTTCTCTTCCTCCTCCTTCTCCTCCTCCTCCTCTTCCTCCTCCTCTTCCTCCTCCTCTTCCTCCTCCTCTTCCTCCTCCTTCTCCTCTTCCTCCTCCTTCTCCTTCTCCTCTTCCTCCTCCTTCTCCTCGTCCCCCTCCCGAAGCAGGCCCAGAGCGCGGAGAGAGATAGAAGCCGTTCCAGGAACGGCACTCGTGAAGCACATGCCCTGAGCAGGGGAGCGTCAACAGGCAGTCTCCAAGGCTGGCACCCTTAGCGGCCCGAGGAGCACTCCCCGACCCACTTGGTGCCACTAGCTTTGAGACAGATTCGAGTCCAGATCTCCCCCCGATCCCTTTTTTTGGAAGCTGGGCGAGGGCTGGCAAAACCGTGGCTGCTTCAACGGTCTTGCCGGAAGAAAAGCACAAGTTCCCGGAATCAATTCAGCGCGCTATAGAGAGTACACGGGCTTCTTCCCGGAAGGCACAACCATTTCCTGGAGCTCCGTTTTAGCAGCCACGGGTCTGCCAGCCTTCGCCTGGCTTCTGGCCTTTAATTGTGTCTCCTACAGACGGGTCGCTGAAGAAGGAACCCTTTTCGTTGGGGAGGGGCTCCGTGTTCCTTCATTGTTTCACAGCTTGCCTCAGGTGTTCCTATGTTTTCGATGGGAAGTCGAACGTTTCACTCGTGGCAAAAAGGGGCCTCGTTCCTCATGTAGGGTTCCTTAGGTCAACGCCCCGACTGTAAGCGGGCTCCACGAATCTGCACGAACGAAATGGGCACGGAAAGAATGGGTACAATGCCCAACAGCGGATCTGGTTCATTTTGAACAGGACTCGCTGTCCACGCCGCCGCAGCCTGTGCCTATTCGAGACAGAAGGCTGCCTGCCCAACACCGGCCGCTGTTGGTCTGGGACAGCATTTTTTGTTGGGCATTGTACCCATTCTTTCCGTACCCATTTCGGGCGTCCAAAGCGGAGGGGGGCGGGCTACAAACCCAAGCACGGCAGACCAGCTCCGCGTCGGTCCAGGCTGGACGGCTCCCCCCCCGTGCGCCTGCGCGGCGCCCGGCCTCTCGCCGTCGTCCCGGGGATCCTTGGTATCGCTCGGCCGTGTGCAGTGGGGTCCCAGCGGGGATTATGAAGGAGCATCCTGGATCATCCTGCGAAACAGTCGCGCACGAAACCGAAAAAGGCACAGGGAATGGACGTCCGAGCGATGGCCAGGGGCAGTGCTGGCTATGCCAGAAGGGGGTCCCCCCCTTCCTTTTTGCAAGCTGACCCGCTCCCAGCAGAGCTGGGCCTCGCCGAGTTCTTGGCCAGTTCATGGCGCGAGGTTTTGGGTAACCCACCTGGACTCTCCGCGCATACTGCTCATTGCTCATTGCTCGTCTCCCTCCCCTTCTCGGGGGGCATCCTCGTTTCCTTCTCCTCCTGTTCTCCCTCCTCCTCCTCCTCCTCCTCCTCCTCCTCCTCCTCCTCCTCCTCTTTGTCTCCTTCCACGCCGTCGTCGTCGGCCTCCTACCCCCCCCTTCTCGGGGGCGCCCTTCTCTCGGGGTGCGCGGATGCCACGTGGATGCCCTTCCCTCTGCTTCCTCGCTGTCGCTTGGCCCGCCGCTGTGCTGCTCGTCGCCGTCTTCGGGCGATGTCTCGACTTCCTCACTCGCCACCCGCGCCCCGGGTGGCCGCTGCACGGTCGATCCACGTGTGACATCCCGCGTGGGAGGGCCTGGCCGCCTGGCCGCCCGGCCGCGCGCGTGAGCTCCGTGCCGCTGGCTCGACGTGCTTCGCCGTCGTCGCTGCGCGCGAGGCCCGCGGATCGCCCAAAGTGGATGTCATTCGAGGCAGCGCAGGCCTTCAGAGGAGGAAAAGGTACCCATACTTCTACCCCCTCGCCCGTTTTCCCCTTTTTGGGGCCTCCTGGGAGGCCCTCGTCGCCACCGCTGGATTCCCCTCGAGATCCTGGTCGGAACGCACCCCAGGAGAGGTCCGGGGAGTAGCGGTATCGGTACCTTTTTTACCAGCCTGGAACATATCCCTATCCCTATGCTGGGCACCTCCTCATCACGATGCCAATCTTAGGGATTCCCTTATTTTTTGAGGGCGAATCCCTAAGATTGTCATCGCCTTTTGGCGTGTCAATCTTAGGGATGGGGATACGTTCGAGGCTGGTAAGAAGAGCTGGAGCCGCGCGAGTGGATCATCGACGGTTCCCGCTTCCGTGCAGAAGCGGCGCGCTCCGTCGCCCGATCAGGCGGCCTTGGCCTCACGTCTAGGGAATGATGATGATGATGATGATGATGATGATGATGATGATGATGATGAGGAGGAGGAGGAGGAGGAGGAGGAGGAGGAGGAGGAGGAGGAGGAGGAGGGGGGGGGGAGGAGGAGGAGGAGGAGGAGGAGGAGGAGGAGGAGGAGGAGGAGGAGGAGGAGGAGGAGGAGGAGGAGGAGGAGGAGGAGGAGGAGGAGGAGGAGCGGAGGAGGAGGAGGAGGAGGAGGAGGAGGAGGAGGCACCTTTCCCAATCCGTGGGTCCGACGCCCCTGCGCCGGATCCACGGACCCCTGGTCCACGCTGGCGAGATGCCGCATCGTGGCGGGGACCCCCCTCGGCTCCGTCCAACACGTTCCCTGCCCCCGCATCTTCTGCGCACGTGCCTCGGGCCAGGAGGCGAGCCCTTCCTCTCCCCGGCCTCCCGTCGTCGGCACACGCGGCCCTTGGCCCGGCGGCCGGCCCCCTCCTGGCGTGCTTGCTTCTGGAGCGATAAGAGGCTTGGCCACGAGAAGAGGCCCCCCAGAAGCCCCCAAATGGCGAGCAATTTGAGAGCCTTCTTTGCTCCCGGGCGATAACGAGCGTTACGAGGGGGGGGGAAGGGGACAGGGGCGGCGGCGGTAACGGCACGTTTCGCGCTGGCGCCGTCTAGGAATAGCCACAGACAACTCGGAGGTCAGCACGAATCGTCACGTTGGGAGCGGGGGGGGGGCAGCCAGGGCCGGTAACGGCCGCTGTTGGGGAAAATGAAGAAAGCCCCCCTGAAGATAACAAACGCCGATCTGTGAAGTCCGAGCCTTCCCCGCTCCCCCCTCTTAGATGTATGTTATGTGTGAAATTTCTTTTAGGCATGAGTTGGCAGGTATTACTGTTTCGCAGTGGTCGCTCCCAGGCGCCAATCGGTGTAGAAGGCGCCAGTCGGCGCTGCTAGGCGGGAGCCTGTCTTAGCATCTCTCTCATGGACACACCCCCTCCCCTCGGCCGAATCCCCACCCTCGCGGCCCCCTGGCAGGCGGGCCGCCTGGAGGCCAGGAAGAGGCTCGCGCTGAAGGCCCAGGCCGCGCCGCAGGACGCCGCCGAGGGCGGGGCGGACGCCTTCGACGCGTCGCGCCGCCGGAGCTCGTCGCCGCCGAAGGCGCCGCCGTGCGACGCCGCCGTGCGACGCAGACCCCATGTCCCAGACCTTCCCTGGAGGGTTTCTCCCAAGGGCTTAGGCGACCCGTCCTCCTCCTCCTCCTCCTCCTCCTCCTCCTCCTCCTCCTCCTCCCTCCTCCTCTCCTCTCTCCTTCTTCTACTCCTCCTCTTCCTCCTCCTCCCGCCTTCCTCCTCCTCCTCCCTCCTCCTCCTCCTCCTCTCCTCCTCCTCCTCCTCCTCCTCCACCTCCTCCTCCTCCTCCTCCTCCTCCTCGGGTCGCCTACGGCCCCAGGGGAAACCGTGCAACCTCCTCGGGCCATGAAAACATCATGATGCGAGGTTGCTCGCTATTTTCGGCCTCTGGGGGCCTTCACTGGGCCTCGGGACCGTAAGCAAGCGGCTCAGAATGAGAAACCGGTCCTGGAGAATGGGTGGAGACCCCCGGGGGTCGACGTCGGGGGCTCGGCGTCCGGGGTTCGAGGTTCGAGGTTCGAGGTTCGCCGCCCGAGGCCGCCCCAGGTCCGAGGTTCGAGGTTCTCGGACGTTTCTGCAGGCGCCTGGAGGTTTCCCAGCTCCAGGCTGCTCTCCAGCAGCTGCGGGGCGTTTTTTCCCAGGGGTGCCCGGCTCGTCCCGAGCGGCCGCCGGGGCCCCGAGCTCTGGCCGGGGAGCCAGACCACCTCGCGCCGTGAGCAAGTCGGGGCGGAAGGTTTTGGGCCGTTTCCAGCCCCAGGAGGGGGACCACGCACCGAAAAGTCTAGCCTCCCGCCCCAAGAAGCTCCCAAGAAGAGGCCCCAAGAGGCCCCCAAGAGGCCCCCCAAGAGCCCCCAGGAGGTACAAATCATTGATTGCCCATAGGAAAACATACATTGTTAGCATATACGGCTTTTCGGCTTTCACGGCGTTGACGACGGCCCAAGAGGCCCCCCAAACCGCCCCAAGGCGGCCCAAGAGGCTCCCAAGAGGCACTGCCGGGCCCGAGGGACGTCCCAAAACGACTCGGGAGGAAGGTGTCCAGAGCTCACTGGGGCGCCACGTTGTGCAAACGACTCGGGAGGAAGGTGTCCAGAACTCACTGGGGCGCCACGTTGTGCAACAATCACGGCGTCGGATGTCTGGGTCATGCGCTGGGGCCGCGAGGAGCGGTGGACTTGGATCTCGGCGCGCCGCGGCGGGCGGGAAGGGTGGTGGCACACGCACGGCCATCGCCTCCGAGGGCACCCGGGGTGCGGGGCTGCCGACGGTGTGGACGTCGCTGGCCATCACCAGGAAAACGCCAGCATGGATTCGGTAGCAAATCATGGAAGCCTGGTGTACCCTCTCACTTCCGTCTTCAGCGTCGATCGGCGTCGATTAGCGTCTGGAGGTCGATGAGATAGCGCCGATTTAGCGTCGATTAGCTTCGATTCTGCGTCGACTAGCGTCGACAAGCGTCGATTCGCAAGAGCCGATCAGATGGTATGGGAGGCTCCCCTACCGAAGACTACAGCGCGTGGGTTATCGACGGGCCCTGGTGCCGTACAGACTCGGCGCGCACCGTCGCCAAGTCGAGTGGCATTTTGCCGCCATCTTGTGGGGGGCAGTTGTTTTCGATCCAGTCTCAAGCGAAATGAAACTAGGCTGCGCGTTTCGGCCCCTAGGGGCCCTTCGAGCCACATTGCCGACTGTGCAGCATCGAGCGAGCAACGTCGACGATGGGACCAGAGGCGGAGCGGAGAGATGCAGTGTACGGTGGGGGCTTCAGAGAACCCCGGCTCCCACCAACCCTGCGGGCCTAACGAGGCCAATTGAGCGACGTAAAAAAGCGGGGTCGTCCGTGCCGACATTGGCGCGTAAGTTGCCCGCGTAAGGTCGCGCGAAAGCGCCCTCGTCTCCAATGCAGCGCGCCGCGCTGGCGGCCCGCTTAAACCACCGCGTAAGGTCGCTATGCCATCTCGCGTGAGACCCATTTTTGATCGTCGCCCACTTGTGCACGTGAAGCCGACGAGAAAGCTTCCTCTGCACTCCCACCGCCTTCGGATGCAACTCCCGGGAGGTCAAATTCTGATTTTGCCCTGGCCCGAAATGCGGCTTGATCCAGCTTGATCTCGCTTCATCCCGCTTGCTCCCGCTTATGATCCCGCTTGATCCGGCTCACTCCCGCTTGAGCCCGCTCAGTCCCGCTTAGTCCGAGGCCCACTTTGGCGTAGCAGCCCCCCCAAATGGGGCTTAGTAATCCTCCCTAGTCTTGTGGAGGACGATCAATGGAGAGGAAGCATGTTATCAAATACTTTCCAGATGTCTATAACATGTGTGAAACATGCTTGAGACATGTAAAGCGCATGTTTCAAACATGTCCAGAACTTTTGCCCGACATCTGAAACACATTCTGAATTCAGTGATAGGACTGTTAGGGTGTCCATTGTCGTGGCATCCACGACCTTCGTCCTTCCGACGGTGACCTCCCAGAAGTTGCCTCCCGACACCGCCAGCCGGGGACGGCGACGCCACGCGCCAAGGGCACCCCGCGTGGTGCACCCCGCGCCCGGCTCGCGGAGCGCGGGCCCCCCCCCTACGCCGGGGTCCGGGGCCCGGCGCGCTCCTCCGCGGGGGCCCCGCGCCCCTCGCGGCGGCTCGCGGCGAGGTCGGAGCCCTCTGCCGCCGCTCTCTGGGGGCCACCGGGGGATGCCTCCCGGCGAGTGCCCCGAGCCCCTCTCGCGCTGGGAGCAAACATCATGCAGGACGGGAGGCTCTTCGCTACTCTCGGCCTCAAGGAGCGCCTGCCGGGCCCCGGAACCGTCAGCAGCTAGGCGACTCAGGAGGAAGCACCGGTCCCGGGGAGGGGGTCCAGACCTCGGGGGGTCGACGCTGCGAAAAAGTCAGGGTTGCCGGGGCGACCTTCCGGAGGAGCCCGCTGGAGGCGCGTTGTCGTCTTCGCCGCCCCCTTTCGCGATGCGAGCATCATCGTCGCCGCCGACAGCGTTGTCGTCGTTGCCCAGAAGTCACCGAATCACCAGGCGAAGAAGATGTCCTTGGCCAAGACTGCCATGGCACGAGTGTCCTCGGAGAAGAACATGCAGGGTGGCGACGCAGGCAGCTCAGCAGTCGAGTAGAGAGGTGGATGAAGAGGAGCAGGAGTGGGGGAAGAGTGGGAAGAGGGGAATGATGAGGAGGAGGTGGAGGAGGAGGAGGAGGAGGAGGGCGGAGGATGAGGATGTAGTAGGAGGAGGTCGAGGAGGAGGGGGAACGATGGGGAAGGAGATGGGGGAGATGGCAGCAAGTACCTAGGAGAAATCGGATTAGGGAATTGAGGAAAAAGGGGAATGGGGGGGGGGAAAGAAGTGATTGGAGGACGAGAGCAGGAGAAGGACAGTGCCGCCTCTAATGCATCGAGGGATGAAGAGGTTGTCGTCTCCTCCTCGGCGGAAGAGGGGCGGAAGGTGGTGGAGGCAAGGCAAGTGCCATGTAGTTTCGTTACGGCGGGTGCAGATCACTGTTCAGACTATCTGGTTGGGCTCGCCGACCACGGCCATGTTGTGCGGTCGACTCTTGGTATCACTAGTTGACTTGGACATTGAGGGTCTCATCCCTGCGCAGGTCTAGGTTTTGGTGGGCTGACCTTCGATCTGAGTTGAGCAAGATACATTCCGTCATCATTATGGTGGACATGTTGGTGAGAGCACATGTCATACATATATATGTACATTATAAATAATGTGTATATGAGTTTTTAGGATGTCTGGCAAGACGCGGTAGGATTGGGCAAGTAGGGTCAGCTATGCAATGTGTGTCCAGGAGTGTATGTCGGTTGCAATTGTATGTCCAAATCGGCCCAGTGAAGTTGCTCATACACATATGTATATTTACAGCGAGAGAGAGGGGGAGGGAGAGAGAGAGAGATATAAATATATAACGAGAGAGAAAGAGAGAAAGAGAGAGAGAGAGAAAGAACAAACAGGACGGTTCCCTGTGTGGCGAGACACTGGATGCCAAGGGCCGGCACGCCCCGAAGTGCGGGTGCGGTGGCAGCAAGGACTACGGACTCAATGCCTTGCGCGACTGGAGCGCGCATTGGCACTGCTCTCAGACTGGCCCCCGGGCCACGACCGAGCAGCGTGCCCCTGCTTTGGATCGCCAGCATCCCGACACTGGGTGCGTGGGAGGAGGCTATCCTCGACGTGGCCACCCGCGAGCCCGTTACCAGCGGCCTCGTCTACGTTGACTGGTCTGTCACCTGCGAGAGCAGCGACAGCGCATGCAGGCAGACCAGGGTTCGTGCGGGCGGGGTGGCGGCTGCCCACGCGGTTGACGGGAAGCGGGCGCGCTACCCGCCTTCCGGTGAGGAGCTGGTCCAGGCCGTCTTGGAGTCAGGGGGCCGACCGGCCGACGAGCTGGTCGCGTTTGAGCCAGAGACCGAGCGGTCTGGCGTGATTTCCACCACATAGAGGAAGATCCAGTGCTGCTTGGCTCTCGGAAGCGCGGATATGCTGCTCAGTGCGACGTGAACAGCCAGGCAGCCCCCAAACCGCCAGCACAACGACCGCCGCTACTACGACCACTGTCAGCTCCGAATCGGCCACCGCCGCTAGTACGACGACCACTAACGCGGCCACCACCCCGACCCGTGCGACCACCACGCCGACCACCATCACGATTACATGGACCATGTCGCCACCGTCACGACGCCCACTGCCACGACCGCGACCACCACGTCCTCCACCACGACCGCCACGACCACCGCGACCACTACGACCACCGCCTGGACGGCACCACGATGCCAACGACCATCACCACCGCTTCCACCACTACAAGTGCGACGACCGTCGTGACCGCCACCAAAGCGACCGCGACCTTCACGACCACCGCCGCGACGACTACTCGCACGACGTCCGCCCCCGCCCCCGCCCCCCTTTTCCCGCCCCCTCTGCGTGGCCGCCCTTGCTTCTCGTCTCCTCCGCTCCTCCTCCTTCTCCTCCTCCTTCTCCTCCTCCTCCTCCTCCTCTTCCCCCTGTTCCTCCATCTCCTCCTCCTCCTCCTCCTCCTCGTCCTCCTCCTTCTCTTCTCCTCCTGCTCCTCTTCCTCCTCGTCCTGCTCCTCCTGCTCCTTCTCCTCCTCCCCCTGGCATCCAAATATTTGACGTTGCTGCGCGCGGGCCGGTGCGGTTTGGCGCTAGGGGGCCGCCGCCAGCTACCCTGCCCAGGCCTGGTTGCCCCGTGGGTGCCGGGGACTGCCATTTCCCCCCCACTCCCCCGAGATATATATATATATATATAGAGAGAGAGAGAGAGAGAGAAAAAGAGAGGGAGAGAGACAGACAAAGGGAGACAGAAAGAGAGAGAGAGAGAGAACTGAACAACATTTTGCGAGTACAAACAGCGAGAGTGAGAGAGAGAGAGAGAGAGAGAAAGAGACAAACAAACAAAGAAAACAGCTATATATAGAGACACAAACAAGAGAGAAACATGTATAAACACATACATAAACAGACATTTACATCTATATATCTATAGATATGTAGGGACGAATAAGTATGACTATAGGGAGAGATGGAGAGTGGGGGAGTGGGGGACGAATCGGTAAACAATGTTCAGACGCCACAATTGGATGTTGTGCCAACGCGGGAGTCGGACAACGTCGAAATGGGGGACCATTCTCATACGACTAGTAACCTGGGCTTGCCAAGGAGAGCGTGCAATTGCATATTCGTATATGTACCATACACATTCATAAACCTATATGCACGCGCAACTCAGCGCAACATGTTTGCGAGCCGCCAGCGGCCAGGGCAATGAGGTCTGAGGCGCAAAAGTGTCACCCTTTTCCCCCTTCCGATCTAGCGCACACATGGATGGAGATGCGTGGATTAGCGACGGTCGTGGCTTCAATGTGAAACCGACGCGCTCCGTCGCCAAATCACTTGGCGCTGGCCTCGTATTTCAGGAAACGCTTTTCCCGATCCAGTCCATGGAGTTGGTGTCAACACTCCAGATCTGCGGATCCCTAATCCATGTTAGCGTAATCCCTCGTCGCAGGTTTCGACCACCTCGAGGTCGAGTGCGAGGTCGACCGCTTCAACCTGTGCAACGAGCTGCTGGAGCAAGCGCGACTGAGGACACCCTCAGGGTTGGATTTTTTTTCGGAAGTTGGGGGCCATGCGTGCAATCATCCCTCGGCTACCGAGCATTTGCGTCAGGCTATTTCCTGCAGGTTTGCACGCCTAAGCACCCGGACGTTGTATATATATATATATATATATATATATATATATCGGTATGTGTGTATATATCGGAGGTTGGGGGGTGAGATCGAAGTGGAACGGAGAGCCCCCCTACCGGGAAATCGATTTCGGTTTCGTGTTCGTGCGTGCCGTGCGGGCGAGGCGAAGTTGCGTGGGCGGGCGAGAGAAAGTCTCCTGTGGCTGAGGCGCGGCCGGACCAAATGACTCCTTTGCGGGCGGCCGGTGGCCCGCGGTGTCCCGCCGGTGTCCCGCTGGTGTCCCGTGTGGCTGAGGCGCGGCCGGACCAAATGACTCCCTTCCGGGCGGCCGGTGGCCCGCGGTGTCCCGCCGGTGTCCCGCTGGTGTCCCGTGTGGCTGAGGCGCGGCCGGACGAAATGATTCCCTTCCGGGCGGCCGGGGCGGCGCGGTGTCCCGCCGGTGTTCCGCCGGTGTCCCGTCCGTGTCCCGTCTATGTCCCGATGATGATGTTGATGATGATTATGATGATGATTCTGATGATGATGGTGATAATGATGATGATGGTGATAATGATGATGATGTTGATGATGGCGATGATGATGATGATGTTGATGTTGATGATGATGATGATGATGATGACGACGTCGATTGCGAGATCGATTGTGATATCGGCAGTGAGACCGAATGTGAGATCGATTGTGCGATGCTGATGGTGATGATGGCTTTCATGGTGTTGATGTTTGTGATTATGATGACGACATGGATGATGATGATGATGATGATGATGATGATGATGATGATGATGATGATGATGATGGTGATGATGCTGACGGCAGTTGGACCAGTCTCCAGGGCGCCAGGCTTTGCCAGCGCCCGCCGTGCCACGACCGCCACAAGCACTACCGAATGAAGATCCCTTGGTCGTCGTTGTCAGTGAGCGGGCCGGCCGGGCTGCCGAATCCTCACCATCAGTTCTTCAGTTCAGCTCGCCGTTGACAGTGAGCGGGCCGGCCGTGCTGCCGATTTTTTGCGCAGAGAGTCTTCGTGTCGACTGGCATGGGCGGAGACACGGAGAGAGCGGCATGTGTGTCGAGCGGCATGTGTGTCGAGCGGCATGGTGGGATCGTGTGTGGGATACTGCGACCGGCCGAGAGAAAACGATGATGATATCGATTGTGAGATCGATGGTGAGATTGATCGAGTGAGATCGATGAGTGAGACCGATAAAGAGATCGATCGTGAGATCGATCGTGCAAGAGGGGGCGCGGGCTGCGCCAAGCTTTGCCAGCGCTTCAGTCTTCTGTGGCCGAATGGCGCCGTTAGCTGCCGTTGCGCAAGTTGGGCAGATTCCCAGGGGGAGGGCCGAATCGTACCAAGGCGCCAGAGAGCAAAGGGTGAAGTAAACAACTCGACACCGACGCTCCCAAGAGCGAGCGGCAACGCAACTATCTCCACTGGCATTGTCGCAACAACATTCACCACTGTTGCCCATTCTCGGCCCCTTCCCCCCCCCCAACCTCCTTATCACCCGCAGGGTGGTCGTGTAGGTGAATATATGTATATATGTATGTATGTATGTATATATATATATATAGATGCACACGCGGCAGGTACCTTGCAGCCGTGCTCTTTCGGTCTCCTTGTCCTTGTCCTTGTCCCCGTCGTCGTCGCCGCCGCTGCCCTCCACCGCCGTCGTCGTGGTCGTTGTCTTCTCCTCCCTCTGCAGCTATGATGTTAAAGAAACGCAACTTCGGGCCCAGGATGGGGCTCTGGTGTTCGTGCCGCTCGCCCTGCCAGGAAGAGCCCACTTTCGTTCCTCATTCAGCGTTCCCTGTGGTGGCACGATGATTGCATGACGACCCGAATCCCCGACTTCGTGGGGGCTTTCGACTGGACAAAGAATTGGGGACGCAATAAGGGGTTACATGGTGCGGGGGCGTTTATCCTCGATGAGGTGTGCGTCCGACCGTCCCCTCCAAGGGTGCATCCCCGAGATCCCCTCCCTTTTCCGAGCGGCCAGATTTTTGGGAAGAGCTCAGGGATCGGGGGCGAGACGTCGTCTGCGACTCGGGGCTGTTGCATGCGAGAGGGCTGGTGCAGACGACATTTGGAATCCAGTGCCCCTCTGTTGTGAGGCGGTTCTATAGGAGGGGGGTACAGTGGGCAGGGTGTTTACACAGTTGGGAGGAATCAGTGAATTCAGCATGGGGCGGGCTTGAAGTGCCTCGAAAATACGCGCACCCCAACCGTCAGCATCTGGTATACATGTGGATCACATTTATGGTGTTTTCCGTCGTTCTCCTCCTTGCTCCCTCGTCCTCCTGTCTCGCCCCCTGGATGGGGGTCGAGGCGTCCGCGGCTCGGGCGGGATAGCGCCCATTGTCCCCCCTTGCTCCTCGTTCCGTTTTTTTCTTTGCCTCCCCGCTCCATCATCCGTCGATTCACCTCGTCCCCCCTCCTTGCTCGAAGGCAAGCGAGGTCCCTGGAGCCACGTGCCCGCGTTGGCGTTATACCACCCGTTCGATGTCCGAGCACAGCGACGTAACCAAGTAGAGGGCGCCAAAGCAAGTTGTCGGGGAGCACGTCAAGCGTCGGCGGCTGCGGCCGCCAAACACAAACGCATCGCGAGCATGTGAAAGCGAAATTATACATGCCCCCGGCAAAACCCACCCCCGTACCAGCGCAGCTGTTTGTATGGCGACGCTTGAGGTTATGCTTGTTCAGAAGTCCGTGACATGTGACACTTCTCGTGTTATCGGACTGCTGCGGGGCCTTTTTGCGGGTCCTTCGGGGCCCTCTAGGGACGTATTCGGGACAGATTCGGCCGCCTTGGCGCCGCAGCCCACGGTGGCCGCCCTGGGCCAGGGAACTGTGTATTCGCAGCCCCCCCGGGGCCGCCCTGGGCCAGGCAAGTGTGTATTTGCATCCCTCCCGGGCTGGGCATGTCGATCTCGATTCTGGTTTGGTAAAGTAGGGGCACCTTCGAGGTGGCGAGCGTTCACCTTTTTGAAATACACAGATCAATGTGTGATCTGTGTACACAGATTGCGTCTTCAACTGTGTAATCGCGTGCGCGGGTCCACTGTTTACACACATCGTGGTGTGATCTGTGTACACAGATCTTGTTCCCATCTGTGTATTTGGAGTGTGCTCCTCGCGGGTGGTGGCGATTGGGCGGGGACATTCGCATTTCTCTCGGCTGGTCCATGGGGGGGCGTTGTACGCTCGCGAGATACACAGTTCGTGCGTCAAACGGTGCATTTGCCCCGCGCTACTCGCTGGAGTCGCCACTGGGTGGGAATTTCCGTGGATCTCCCGGCTGGTCCAGGAGGGGGCCGTGGTTTGGGAGGGCAGACGGCGCGGGGGTCAGGGATGAGGGGGCATGGGAGGGAAGGGATTCGAAAGGGGGGGTGGCGAAGGGGCCGGGGGATGAAAGAGGGAGGAGGAGAGGGGGGTTAATGGGCCCAGGAGGAGCTGCAGCCTCGGTTTCAGCATCATGGGGGCGAGGAAAGTGAGGGTGGGCAAACGGACGGGGGATGCGCTGCACCAGGGCGCAGGGGAGGGGAGGAGGGCAAGGATGCGGATGATGGGGGAGCGCGTAAGGCGAAGGAGGACGAGGAGGGACGACATGAAAGGGCATTGGAGAGGGCGAGAACGAGGAGCGGGAGGGGTATCAGGAGGGGGAGGAATCGCACGGACATGGGGAGGATGAGGTGAAGGCACGGGGATGCGGGAGGAGGCGGGGGGCGGGGCATGAGGGTGAAGCGGTTGTTTGCTAACGCTGAGTTCATCGGTGTTTCGCGTGTCCGTGCACCCCCCCAGAAACTAGTTACCAGTTGCAGAACTGCGCTATTTGGCCAGTCGTGCGCGACGTGCGTCTAGGCCAAAGGCTCGCGTCTATGACATTCCTCGGCGTCGCGTTGATGCCGTCCCTCTTCAACAAACTGCAGATGCACAGATTGGCTGAATCTGTGTTTCAGCGTTTGCCTCGTAGCTTTCTCTATAGTAACAGACCAACGACGGAACCCAAGACGACATCAGCAGTGCGAGAAGGGCTCGGGACCAAGGCGTCAGCCGCCTCCCCGGAGATCCGACGTCACGAGCAAGCTGCAACATCGCGGCACGCAAAAAACAACCAGAGACCTGGCTTCGGCCTCCCCCTCCCCCTCCTCGGCGGCCCCCGCTCGGGTGGCCACTTCCGCCCAGGGCGAGCAACGGCTTCTTGGACTCGAGGGGCTCCACGTCCAAGGCGCCCGGTAGTGACCCGCCCTTCCGCTGTCCCCCGTGGGCCACCCCAGCGCGAGAGGAGCGAACAGGAGGAGACGGAGGAGGTGGAGGAGGAGGAGGAGGAGGAGGAGGAGGAGGAGGAGGAGGAGGA